TACAGTGAATAAAGAAGACCATAGAAGAAATAAAAGAATAATAAATTGTTCAACTGTTTCAAGAGATGTAACCAATGATACTGAAGGAAGAAGTTAAAGATGCATTGAAGACATTGGCAAAGAATAAGACTCCAGGAACTGATGGAATACAAATTGAAATATTTCAACAAATTGATGTAATACTGGAAGCACTCAATCACCTATGCCAAGAAGTTTGGAAGACCTGACCAACTGATTGGAAGAGATCTATATCTGTGTCCATTCAAAAGAGAGGTAACCCAACAGAATGCAGAAATAATTACACAATACCATTAATAACCCACAGAAGTAAAAATTTACTAAAGATAATTCAAGAATGGCTGCAACAGTATATTTACAATTGAACTAAATATATCTTAGGAGATGATCACATCACAACACTTCTGATTACATTATATGTGTTGATTATATCCCCTCATATCTGTATATTTTATATGAGATGATCATATAACATCAATATTCAGTAAAATATGTAACTTGATTATACACATCACTTCTCTTTACATTATGGGAGATGATGCCATCACATCAACTCTGATTAAGTTATATGAGCTCATTGCTTTACAACACCACTGGTTATCATCATGGGAGATTGTTTCATCACACCACATCTGATTGCATTTTGGGTGATGATCACATCACATCATTGCTAAATACAATATAGGAGATATTTTCATGACACCAGTGATTAAATATGTGAAATGATTATATCACAGAAACTAATTACATTATGGGAAGTATTCAACAGACAAAATAATAATTAGTTTAATTATGGATGATGATCACATCTAAAGCTAAACGAATGGGTTTATCAGTAAAACATGTCTGCAAATGCACTATGTGTAAAAAGATATTAAACCACTGTGATTGCACATCATCAGTTTTACTTTTTTCAACAATTCATATACTGTTTATTTTGTTCAGGCTATAGTTTTGTGGATTCCACCAGTCTCTGCCCTGATCTTTTTTATGATTTTGAGTTTTGTTCCAGGTTTTCTCCCACTGTATGCAGGACCTTCTGATGTGATCCCTTTCAGAGCAGTTGGCAGTGGTAGCTGAGCACCATCTAGTTTTTCTGGTGTTCCTTATATTTCTACACTGTCCATTTTATGAATAAAACATGTGTTTATTGTTTTAGCATTGTGTTTAGATTCTGATTTGTGAATTAGAGGGGAAGCTTCTGATACAGTGTATTAGAGGGATAATTAATGGTATAAATAGCTACTGTTTGCTGATATATTTTTCTAATGTAATTATTCCCTTATGTCAATAATAGTGATTTAAAAAACTTCAGGTTAGGATGCCAGATGTAGTGGAATATAAGGAATTGTATGTAACCGCAGTACTAGCACAATAAGCATTTTCTCTCACTCATTGGATTATATTTTTTTGTATTATTTGTGGATGGTATGTCATTTTAGCTTTACTTTCCTATTTCTCTTATTACTAAATGTGTTAGTTGCTGTCATTGTATAGGGAATTATCTAGTCATGGCCTTTGTACCACAACTTAGCTGTGGAACCTTGGGGAAGCAAGTAACTGGTTTTTTTTTTTAAAAGGTAGACATTAAATAATGCTTACATAGTAAAAATTGGTATGAAGGTATGTGAGATGTTTTGCTAAAATTCTGAGTATGTTTTAAATTAAAATTTTCTTGTCAAGTTTGCTACACTTTTTTTCACCATTTTTGTTTGCTTTTTATGACATTTTTTCTATGGCATAATTTTTTATGACATTATATATAAATTTAAACTTTTAGTTACTGTGTCACTTTCCAGTCATAAATATAAATGAAGTGCTGACACCTTGTGAGAGGGGATGCAATCAATGGTATGGTACACTTCATGTGTAAACTATTTAACGGGCAATCAATTGGCTCTGTCAACGTTCACCTAAGGTACAATGAAAAATTTAAAATATATATACATATACGTAGATATGTGAAAGTGATATGCAAATACATCTGAGTTCATATGACAAAAGTATGCAATAACAAAAAGCATAATATGTTTTCCACCAAATGCTTTCTTTATATTGGTAATATTTATTATGTACTCGTTGAACCATATTGGCTGAGGTTAGAGTTTTTTGTTTTGGGGTGATAAGACTTTTTCTATTTCAGACAATTTTACCTGTTAGATTTCCCCCCCTACCCCAGTATAGTATTATAAGGAGAGCACAGTGGCACACTGTAGAATAAGCTGACTTTGCCATGTTTTCATAAAAACTGTAGACTGTGAACCACTAGGTTAGTGGTTCAAGTCCACCAGCTGCTCCATGGAAGAAAGATGAAGCTTTCTGTTCCTGCCAAGATTTACAGGTTCAGAAACCCTACCCAAGGGCGATATGAGTCGGAACTGACTCAACAGCACTTAACAACATATAACTTGTGAAGTGTTTATTCTCAACCAAGTCATTGGTATGGAAACAATTGAAAATGTAATAGGAAAGGGTCAAAGTTCACCAGATTGAAAAGCATAATATTGATTTTATTTTATTTTTATTTTAGAAACATGACCAGGGTCAAGTTTTATTGGATATAGTCTTCAAGCATCTTGATTTGACTGAGCGAGACTATTTTGGTTTACAATTGGCTGATGAGTCCACAGATAACCCAGTAAGTTGAAGGTGTTGTCTTTTGTTTTCTTTTTAGCTTTTTTCATTGTTCATAATGAAAGTCATTTCTAATTTATAATGTTTACTGATTTAATGTGTGACTCTGAATAATTGGAGATAGGTAGTTTGTTTTTGTTTTTTTTGCCTTTGTCCCTCTATGTATTGGTTTTAAATGTTAATGTTTTCATCACTGTAAGTCATTCTTTCAGGCTAATACTAGTTTCTTCACTTTTATGTTTCAGACAACTAAAAAGGCCGTACTAGCAAATTATATGATTGAATTCTATGTATATTTATATGTTTATAATGTGAAGGACTTTCAAAAAAGAGTAGGATATCGTGATATACCGTTAAATAATGATTTTGATAAGTATAAAAGAATGACTTATGAATAGTTTAGAAAAATAGTCTAATCTTTTAGAAGAATTGGGATGCTGAATTACTGTTCTCTGGGTCACTGCTTTAGGAATAAGTTAGGCTATATTATCATAAGGAATATTGTTGTTGTTGTTGTGTGATGTTGAGTCGATTCTGATTCACGCCAGCCCTTTGCACAATAGAACAAAACACTGCCTGGTCCAGCACCAGCCTGATATGTTTGAACCCATGTGTCAGTCCATCTTGTTGGGAGTCTTCCTCTTTTTCGCTGACCCTCCACTTTACCAACCATGGTTCCTTCTGACCACAGCTTTATTTTATATTTATTTTCTATAGTCTTTCCAATTGTCCAAAGTACGAGTAAGAATGACTGTGGAAAATAAAATACTGTTCATGAGCAAAGTAGGATTTGTTTGCTTGGTTTTCTCCCTCTCCGGGTTAGTATTCTACTGTTTGCGATCGCAGTGAGTCTGAGAATCCACTTGATAGCAGTGGAAGTTATAAATATGAAATGTTAAATCTGGCTTTATGTACAAACCAGCTATGAAAACCTAAGAGGATAATGTGGATAAAAACAAACCAAGAGATAACTAGACTCATTGGAAATGAAGTCTTTGGTATTGAATTGAAATAAAACAGAAACTTTCCTCATATTTTGATACTTTCACTAGATGACTTGAGCTTCTCATAGGAACTAGACAAATATGTTACTTCTTGATAATTACATAGTTGGGTAATATACTAAACCCATGTAAACACAGACATGAGTAGAAATGTCACTTAAGAAATTCGGAATGCAAATGTATTTTCGTCAGTGCTGCACAGGCAGCCCCTGGCTAAGACAAGGATGAGTTTCATTCCTAAGTCTGTCTTTAAGATGGATTTGTACAGAAGTTGGAATTGTTAATTATTCTCATATCTAATGGCAGTCAGATGTTTTTCTTACTATATAATAGGAAGGAGGGTAAGTCAAAAAGTATTACTACAAAATCATAGAAACCTTTATTAAGCAAAAGTATCATAATGTGAAGTTATTGTTTCTCAACATATCTTTCATCTAGTTCTTTTGAAGATGATGTGTCCATATCTTTAATCCTTCCTTAAAAAATACTATGATCTTTAATTTATGTCAGAATTGCAGTTTTGACAATTTCAAGGGACTTAATATACCTTTAAATGTTCTTTGAGTTTGGGGAGCAGAAAGAAGTCTGAAGAGACAAGGCTTCCTAACAAAATTCTCTTGGGGCCACCTTTGCTACTTTGAAGACTAAGCAGGTACATTGTCACGATGGGGGTAAAAAAATCTTCCTTGACAAAACTTTGCTTTAAAAATCTTGGGTGGAGCTCAAGAATTCGCATTTTTAATTAAGACTATTGAGCTAAGGTATAATATAATTGGAATAGAAGTAACCTTTGATGATTCCTTTACAGTAACTTGAAAGTGTTAAATTATTAATTTCAAAAAGTTTGCGGAAATATAGAGAATATCATATAGAGCTTATCATAATTTCAATTTCATACAAAATGATTCATTAGGTGTTTTTATACAAAGTGATAGCTTAAATACTTAATTTTCTTCTCATATATGTTTGGTTTATCTGTTTCTATTGTAGTACCTCAATTTAAGCTGTTATTAAAGGTGGTAAACCTGTTACATAAAGTTCTTTGGTAGCATATCAAATGTTATTTTTTGCTTTTGATCTCTTCTAACCTTCCGATTTTGGAAGGGGGTGACCAGTGAACATGGGGTGCAGTGAAATATTCCAGAGAAAAGCAGCAGTACACAGAATGAAGAGAGGAATGTTCTATGCAATAAAAAGTAAAAAAAAAAAAAAGTTTCAATAAGACTAAAATACACAGCAAGACAAGAAGAGTGAAAGATGAGATTTAAGCCCTATGTCAGATCATGAAGTGCGTTTTAGTCTATGATAGGAGGTTATGGTGCTGTAGGATTAGCACTGGACTGCAAACCACAAGGTCAGCAGTTCAGACTCACCAAGTGCTTCTTGGAAACCTTATACAAGGTTGCTATGAGTCAGAACGGACTGGACGCTGCTTAACAACAACAGCAACAAGGTTATATTTTTCAAAAGACTTAGTTACACAAGTCTTTGTAATATGTTTAAAATACATGAGATTTATGTTTTAGTCAGATTAGTCCGATTTACAGTGCAGTCATTTAATAACAGTATGGCAAAGTAGAGGCAGTAGGGAGATTGTTGCAATAATAAAGTCAGGTAGATGTTGATTCATTGTAGGTGATGGAGAAAACTGTATGAGTACTTGGTTGGTTGGTTGGTTATGTGCTGTGGAGTTTGTTCTGACTCATAGTGACCCTGTACAGGGTTTCCGAGGCTGTAACTCTTTACGGGAGCAGAAAGCCTCATCTTTGTCCCGCGGAACAGCTGATAGTTTCGAACTGCTGACCTTGTGGTTCACAGCCCGATTCGTAACCACTACTCTACTTGTTGATTTGGTTAAGGTGGAATGGGTTCATGAGAGAAAAAGAGAAATCAGTATCTCTAATTCAGTCTTTGGCAAGTTGGTATCTAAGATGGAACCCTTCAATAGTATTGTTATTAGGTTTATTTTTTCCTTCAGTTGTTTATTGTAAATAATAGAAATACAATTAACTTCACATATTAATCTTATATCCTGCATATTTCTCAGACTATATCTTAAGCCTAGCTTTTTGTAAATTACATAGATTTTCTACAAAGACTATTGTATAGTCTTTTCAACTAATTTATTTAAAGTTCCTACAGCTTCCTTTTCATGAGTCTCTGGGGTCTTTCCATGAATTAATAGCTTAACTGTCAGCCAGAATGGAGGTGGATTTTGTGTGCAGAGTTTGAACCTAATTCACTCTGCCATCCCCACCCTTCCAAAATTCCTCCTCAAATTTTTATGTATTCTTTGAGTCCTGAACTCTGTCTTCTTGACACTTCAGTTCAGTAAGGCCTTATACAGGATTTATCGAAGCTTGAAAAAAATACACTTTTCCCCAAGATTTCTGATTGTTACCATAAATAAAAATAAATTACAATATAAATTTAAGTATGAAACGGTAGTGAGTGTAATAGTGTTTTGGTTTAAGACAAATAGCTGCAAGTGTATAAATCTCAAACTTTGAAGTTTTTCAAGTAGGTTTTCTGTTTCTGCCTGCTTTTGGTTGCTATCCAGCATCAAATAGTATGGATATACATATACACAGAGAAAATAGAAAGAAATGTCATTAACAGACAAGAAATGTTCAGATAATTAAATGCAGACAAGATTGTTTAAATGGAAGGACCAAATCAGAAGAAAACTCATCATAAAAGAGTATAGGAGAGTAATCTTGTAAAGCTAGGAGAGTTTTCAGGACAATGTAAAGAAGCTGCAGTATGATTTGAAAAGTAATTAGCTGGAAAACTGGATTGAGGCATCTGGGCTACTTAGCTTCCTTTTTCTTCTATCTCGTTAGTTCAGGGGTGTGGTACCTTTTTTTCTACCAAAATTTATAGCATTATTCATGGGCCATACAATTTATCAACTTAAAATTTAGGCTACTATATTTGGTCAAGCATTTAATTAACTCACTCCTAATGTGATGGCTGTAAACCCTCTACAGGTTTGCGGTGAGTTGGAACTGACACCATGTCACACAACCACCAATGTGATGGCTGTAACTGCGGTTGCCTTGGCAGGGCCAGACCAAATGATGACACAGGCCTTATACAGCTGACCCGTGTGTGGGACATTCCCCACCTTGCTCTAGTTGAACAGAAGGTAGTAGGTACAAGTCCCTTGGGATAAAGCTGTGTGTGTGTCCGTGTGCTGGGGCAGAGGGACCTCACTTTTTCATGGCAGTATGATTGCTTGCATTGAAAGTCCAAATGATTCGATAAAAGTTTAAAACTGTACGAACTAAACCTTACTGTACAAATACCAACACCTGTCTATATACCACCAAAATAGCAAATCAGCTAAGTTTTTAATTACCCAATTGAAATAAACTTAAGTAGGAGTACCAAGGTCTGTATAAAGAAAACTATAAAACTACAGGAATAAATGGAGTCCTGATATAGCACTGTAGGATAAGCTCCAAACCTCAATGTCCATTTGTACTGCAAGGTTGGTTTGAACTGCAAGGTCAGTTCGAATTCCAAGGTCAACGGTTCAAACTCACCAACTGTTCCTCAAACCCTATACAGGATCACTATGAGTTGGAAGCGACTCGACAACACTTAAAAATGACAACAATGACAGGAATAAATAGAAGGCATGAATAAATGAAGACATAATTAGGTTTATATAAGGAAGACAGTGTTTATAAGCCTTTAAATGCTACTCCCAATTTCATATTGCTAGCTAGACTCTGAACAGAATATTTTTGGGAGAGTGGGCAGATTTGACAATATAATCTTCAAGTTTGGAAGACAATCAGAATAAAAATAGCCAAATATATTTTGAAATAATTTGCTCTAGCAGATACAACAATGAAGCATGGTAAATTAATTAGAATAGTGTGGTACTGGTATAGATATAGATGGGATGGAAAAAACAAGTTTAAAGACAGATTTTTTTTCTATGGATAAATTTTTGGTAACAGTAGCACTTTAAGTCAGGAAAAATACTGAA